ACAAATAATTTATTTTTAAACTAAAAAACAGTGTCTTCTACCTTTAACAAGACACCTGAGCTTTTATTTAGTTTTTAACTGTTTTTAGTTTTGAAGGCAAACTTTTCTTTATAATGAATTTATCAAATGAAACCAAATGGTATGTTTGACAGAAGTGCATTTTTAATGTTAGAATTTTATTATCTTCAAAAATGTGACTAACTATAAAAAAATCTCTAGATTAATTATTTTAATATTTGTTAGTCCTAATATAATAATAAAAGTCACAGTAAGTTATATTTTATGCTCCTAATGGCTGCTTGCCATTTAGATTAGCCAATCAGCTTTGGCATCACAGGAATAAATTACATATATTAATATAATATGTTAAAATAAATAGAATTAATTGTAATAGTACTTCACAATATTACTGTTTTTACTCTATTTTTGATCAAATAAATGCATCCCTGTTCAGAATAAGAGAATTCATTCAAAAACATAAAAAAAATCTTACTGACCCCAAACTTTTGAACAACAGTGTAAATGTTTTACGAAGTAAACACATGAGAATTGAGAGAGAAAAAAAACGGGAATTGGGAATCACCAAAGAAATGGACTCCTATGTCCTCTCATCATAAAACAGCAAGAAGTTTGGAGATCCCAATTAGTCCTATAAGTCTAAGCATCACTTTAAATCCAAATTAAATTGATCACCATTATAAAACAGTGAAGTATCTGTTAATAAAACAGCCTGCTGACCCATTTACAGTAAAGCTGCTCCTTAACCTGGTCAATAAGTGCTGGGTCAGTGAGCTGCACACCCCTGAGCCCACAGTGAAGCACTGGGCTACGGGCTACTGGCTACTGGGTAGGAGTGCCAGCCAAGCACTGTGTATGTGGCTAATTGGTCAGGTCAGATATCTCACGGTCGGACGGGCATCAAGCAGGGGCACCACTGGGCACCAGCCTATCCAGATGCCTTAACATACTTCACACGCAGGGATCCCCTCTACATACACCCCCACACTCATATTCTACCCAGAACATATGGTCCAATATTCCACTCAGCCTCAGCCTTCTTATTAAGAGCACAGTGGTCACTTCTCTGGTCACTTTGGCTGATGGACTCCTAATGTGAGTATGCATTATGGGATTTGGCAGATGCATCAGCCATTGAAATTAAACTTGAGAGATTTAATCACTTTTAGATGGTGATCAGAACTCAAATAGTGTCCATAACTGCACTCGTCTGTATTTTCTGGGTCATTGCGCTGTGTCGTTTCGCACACTGTTTTTTATATGGAGGTGAGAATGTGCATATGAGTGTGTGAATGTGAATCAGAGTGAGTTTTGGGGGTAGCAGGGGGTCCGCGCACCATGTCGATGTGGCCATATGTTGTCCCCAGCTTGCCGTTGCCACGCCGATGGATCCTGCTAATTTAACACATCTTGACAGCGTGTCAGTAGTGCTGTCCTCCTGATCTAACGGTGTGTGTTTGTGTGTGAAAGCCTCCTCACATTCCATGGCCCACCGTGACCCTTCCTCCTGCAGTCACCTTGTCTTTCAAGGAGTTCTGTGCCAAGTTCCCCAATACACGCAGTCTCTTTCTCTCACACACAAAACACCAACACTCATCATAAGACAGACTATGAAAATATTGTTTGTGTAAATAGGTATACAATGCATGTGTAATTTTATATTCCAGGTAGATTTAACATTTCAGGACTAAAATTTGTTGTAATCAAATCAAATCAAATCAAAATTATATTTAGCCGCAAAAGTTGCCTTGCAAAATTAATTTAACATCAAGTAAATAGATCAGCCGGCAACATAGTCACATAAACAACACTGTCATCTGCTATATAAATAGGAATGTAAAAGATTTAAAGTTATTTACTGCATCATTACTAGAGGATGTTCAGATATGTGAACTGAAACCTTAACAATAACATTTTGGCTGTATCCTTAACGTATCTGAAATATTTACATATTGATTATTTCTGTGCATGAATCATTAAAATGTTCTTTTGAGAATAATATGATTGTTGCAGTGATTCAATTAAGTAATGAAAACAATTGTCTTTTAAAAAAAAAAAAAGTGTCTGTCACCTCAATTTCGTTGAGAAATATAACTGATATAGGTTTTTTTTAAATTGTAAGCCCTAAATGTTTACAAAGTGGAAAATAATCTATTGCACTCTCAAATGCATTTCTTAACTATTTGTAATTTGGAATATTTTTCGCAATAATCTCTTCCAATCATATTATTTTCGTTTTCTTAACCATTCAATTTAAAAAAATAAATAAATGGCAAAGACAGGAACTAATATTTGAAATTAGCAAAACAATAAGCAACAGTAAAAACCTTTCTGACTGGAAGAAACTTCTGACTACCGTGAACTCACGTCACACTTTCCCGCGTTAAACTTCAAATAATTCTAATTTAATCATAAAACGAAATCATTGTTTACACAAAAAGCAGTAAGTAGAGTCTTACTTCTGGTAGTCTCGCTTGCAGTAGAGTGTCTTATTGCGGAGGAAGCAGGTGTCTTTTAGAGGCTCGCGACATGACGCGCAGTGCAGGCAGCGCTCGTGCCACAGTCCGTCCTGCACGCGGAGCAGGTACCTGTCCCGGATGAGCTCATTACAGCCTTCACACACACTTTTTCTCCACATATCTGGAAAAAAGAGACACATTTATAATCCACAACTTCAGCATTTTCAAGTTGTAATGTCATGATTTCATGTGCTTGTATTGGACAAAATAACAAAAAAAAAAAAAAAAGGGTTAACAGCGGTCTGCCTTATGTGTAGCTAATTTTACAGAATTGTGTTATAGCTACTTGAAATGACAAATGCCATCCTCTTAAAATTGTAGTTATCCAAAGAAAACGTGAAAGTAAAATAAAAGTACGTTTAATGTAGGCCTAATTTAAAAATGGAAAAATAAATACTGGAAAAACAAAATTAAATTAAAAAACGAAATTCAACCACGAGCATTAGCTACAAAGTAACAAAACCAATAAGACCAGCACAAATACAGTTTGAACAACTGAGATTTGATTGTGAGTTTCATTAAAATATTAACTTCCAATCTCTATTAAGATTATTCATTCAAACATAAAACGACTTTTAATTGTGCGACATCAAAATAACACAGTGAGTAAAAGCGCATAGTATTAATTAGTTACATGTATCAGCATGTTTTATCAGCACCAGGAACTATAGCTTTCTAATGTACTGTACATGACAAAACTTCACCAAAACTTTAAAAGATGATTTGGTATTAGACATCCACCTACCATTGAAGAGAAAATATCTTTTTGCCGCCCCGTATAACTTTCGACAGATGCTCAGATAGTTGTAAACGCGGACAAAAGCCTCATATGAAAATAAACCTGTGCGTCAGTCTCTCTCTCTCTCTCTCTCTCTCTCTTGCACGCACGCGCGCGCGCCAACACACACACACACACACACACACACACACACACACACACACACACACACACACACACACACACACACTTCTCTGCTCCCATCAGCAGGTGGAGAGTAAGTAAATATTACTTTACAACTTGTGTTGAACTCCAAATAGCCTACATTATATAAAAAACTATCATAGTTTTTAAATACATTAGGCCTATGAAAACTATTGTAGTTACTATTAATAATAAGTGCAATTATTATTGTTTTTATACAATTTACTATAAATAAACTTGACAGTTCAAACATGCCCTAAAAAATGTCACATTAATTCTGCTTGGCGTCCATCTGCTTTCTATATCCTACACTCAAAAAAATGCTGGGTTGTTTCAACCCAACCTTGGGTCAAATATGGACTAACCCAACTTTTGGGTTAAAAATTGAATGTAAAAATTTAACCCAACGGTTGGGTTAGTCCATATTTGACCCAAAGTTGGGTTGAAACAACCCAGCATTTTTTAGAGTGTTTGCATTTCACATAGATTCACAATGGAGTGCAATTATTAGCAATCCTGCTAATAAATTTAGATTTATTGTATTTTTCACAATTTGTTCTGCATATTGGATAACAGTAACTGAAAAGTGCAAATGTACTATATGATAAAAAAATATGGGGTTAAGCTTAAACAATAACTATCTGGCTACTGGTTTTATTAGGTCAGATAAACATATTACAATTACAATTACCGAAAAAAGAGGTTATTTTCTAAACGAATATTATATTTACATGCACATCAGTTCTCTGTGATAGCCTACAACCCAAATAGACAACCAGTGAAATAAATCCCAAACATTTGTTTGGAGTTCATATTATACAGTGTCATGACCAGAACCGGTCATATAGCATAGCCTACCTAAAATTTGTTTGAATTTTGAAAAATGAATAACATAAAAGAAAAACAATCACCTTATAACTGACGATTAATGATTTATACGACCAATTTATATTATTTATATAAAAAACATAAAACATGTTCTATTCTTAATTTAAAAAAAATAACGATCACAGATTACATAAAGATTATATGATTTAAAATGAACTAGTGAGTATGGACCTTTTTTTAATATATATTTTAGAAATACATTTATGAACAATATTGTAAGACAATAAACGTTTGGGCAAGAAATCTTATGCGCTTCTTTCCCACAGGACAGTTCAAACTTGTTTACCTTCAGAGCAATCAGCCTTCCACACTGAAAATGAGAAAGCCACTTTTTAATTATGGTTTGCATCGCTGAATGGTGCCATCTAGTGGGCGGGACACACTGCACCAGATAAGGTAGATACAGGGTTTTGCTGAAATGTATAATTTATTCGAGATGTTATTTAAACTTGGACAACATCACGTCTCAAACAATTGCTTGCTCTTTAAAGGCTTTTGGTTCTACAAGGAAAAAAGGTTCAGTAAAATGAAGACAGAAAATGACAACGTGCTCCATTTTTTTTTATTCAAAAAACAACAAAAAAACAAAACAGTATTTCAATATTTATTTGAACAGAATTCTAAACTTCATTAAAAAAATTATTGTTTGGGTTTGATAAACATTCCTTGAATAAAATATATTTTTTTCTTTAATGCACTGTCTTGCAACAGTGGATACCTGATATTAGCTATTTACATTTCTTTTCAAAACCATACCAATAAAATTAATTTCATCTGTATATTTTCAGACTTGCTCCTCTTTTTCCCCTGCCAGTATTTTTTAAAAGAATAATAATTTGTGCATGGTTTAAAATATGCAGCAAACTGCAATATCTTCAATCAAGTTCGTTATTATATTAGTTACATAAGAATATGTACAAAAAATGGTCTGTTGGAACTCATGTCACGTGATCTGATGGGGTGCTTCGAGCATCTCCATTAAGAAAGTGTCTATGGGTGTGTCTCCAATCAGCTTAAAGAAAAATAGGTGCTCCAAACACTTAAGTCCAATGGATCGGAGGGCAGGAAGACGCAACAAAAGTTTAGCAAACCTGTAAAGCAGGCAGGGAGCAAGATAGCAGGTGAAATGGAGTATGTGCAACAGATATGATCAGTATTTACTGAACAAACATGTACATGACTGTACCTGCCAGGCTGGTCAGGGTATTTCTGTTTAGTATAGGTCTCCAGTGAGGCGTAAACTTTCTCCCTCAGTGCCTCTACCTCTGCTGGGTTGGACAAGCCTTTGGAATCTACGAGAAGAGACAATCTGCATGATTATAAATATATATTCAGAATATCAAAACATCTTACATATCTTTACATCTAATCTATTAACCTTCCATTTTGCAGTGCATAAAGGCATTTAAAAAATCACCAGTATTTTTGTGTTCCACAGATAAATAATGACAGAATTGTACTTTTTATCTCTTTAACTACTACATATATTATATTATATTACAAAATACAAGTTTTCTCTTTAACTTGAGTATTTTAATAATATAATATAATATAAATTATAATATAATATAATATAATAATATGCTTTATAAGATAAAATCAGTCAAGGTCTTCACAATTTATCATCATTATTCTGTGTCAATTCCCAAGGAATTCCAGGAAAGAAAAAAATTATTTTGGAATGTAAATAATGGCAGGATTTGGGTGAACTATTACTTTAATAATATTATATTATATTACAAAACTTTAAATGAAATAAAATAACAACATTTTATTTTATACACGTCTTTGTTTTATACACTTTTATACACTTGTCTGCAGAAAAAGTTATCTATGCTGCAGACAAGTGTATAAAAAATGGAAGTGTGCAACACACCAGGGTTGAAGAGGACGATGGCTCTAAGGCAGCCTAGTTCTGTCTTATCCATCTGCATATCCTTCATTTTAGACACCAGCTCAGTCAATACCCTGCCACACAAACACACACACAAAGCTTTCACTTGAACACAATAGTTGTAATAAAAATAAAGATGATACATATTTTCTGATCATTCTCTAAACAAAGGACAGATGTTTATTAATTCAGAGGTGTTAAAGGTGGAAAGACTCACCTGTTAAAGATGGAGCCGACACCTGCACTGTGAGCACTGCTTCTGTGGACATGGAGGCCTGTGCCCAGCAAGATGCCATCTTTAACTGTGATTGAGCGATGAGAGAATGAAGCAATGAGGAGCTCATTCCATCCTGTAAGAAGAAAAATGACATGAAGAACATAAATTACATGAACTCTCCCTGTGTTTTAATTCAACACAGTGTTCTTTATTAGCAAGGCTTTATGAAGTTCTGTGGTGGCTTTTTTATGACTGCGTGTGAAATGTTTGACCAGCAGAGGTCAGCATTCCCACTTACATAACCAACACAGTTCTGCCTGACCCTTTGACATGGAGTGACTATGGACAAAACTAAAACTATATTAAAAAAAAAAAAAAACTTTTCGAAACTGAATTGAAATAAACCTGAAATCACATAAAATGCCAATATTAGATGAAAAATCTAACATTAAAATACTTTAATACTTTTTAAATAATGATTGTTGCCCTGGCAGCTAACTGAAATGAAGACATTTAAGTATTAAAATGACTAAAACAGAAATAAAAATGAATTAAAAGTTATATAGAAATATATATATATATATATATAAAAAAATAAAAATGACAGAAGTACATAAATAAGTACTAAAACTTAAACTAGAAGCTAATTTAAAATATTAATGAATACAATAAAAGTATATATAAAAAAAATACTAAAACAACATGGGTGGTAGTTTTATGTATGTTTATACAGATGATATTAATGTGATGCCACATAACAAGAAACACTTGTGATGAAATGTGGCATTATAAATGGCAACAGCAGCAACAACAACAATAAACCTAGAAGATGTGCAATATGCATTTTCACTGCTTAAATACACATTTCAGCCATAATATCCTCTACGTTACTACCTTCAGGTATGATTTAAAAATCAAGGCAAAATATGTATTTTATCAGTTTTGCATGATTTTTATCTGCATATCACTTCACAAAGACATAGTATGGACAATTATGCTGATGAAACTGGTTCCTGTTTGATCATAGGTTTAATATTTTTTAGTATAGTTGTGCTTTGTAAGACAAAGTCAGCCATTTGAATGGATAAAATCAGTCAAGGTCTTCAAAATGATAAAAGCTCACCTGCCTGCTGCTTTCTAGTAATCCTTAGACCTTTATTAGCTTGTTCAGGTGTGTTTGATTAGGGTTGGAGCTGAAGTCTGCAGGACTGTGGCTCTCCAGGACAGACGTCGGCCACCCCTGGTCTATATCTATATATGTTTACACATGTGTATAGACATATGAGTGTCTTATACCTGCTCGAAGCAAAATGACCTGATCATCCAGAGGCAGATCGGAGAAATTAGGTATTCTCTTGGCCCACTCCACCAGAGTAAACAGTTGCTTGTCAGCTGCATGGCAGATATTAGTGACTGGGTCATTTGTCTGGAGAAGGAGACCAGATGAAAAAAAGGAAAGAGAAAGAACGAGAGAGGGTATTTTAGTTGTTACTTTCTCAAAGAATGCTGAAGTCAGCATGTATGTACTGTGTAAATTGTATTTGCATAAATCTAAATGTCTTCGTCTTACGGAGTTGCCTGGACTGTTCTCTGTGTATGTCTCAGTCTTAGGTTCGACTGCAAGTTCTGCATCCAGAATCTTATCCACAGGCATGTCTTCATTAAAACTGCTCGTCGATTCTACATCATCACCTTTCTCCCTCCCACGCTGCCTCTCTTCCTGCACTGCTATGGGGTCCAGCAGAGCAGAGTAAAGGAGTACATTATAAATCGTTGTAATTAATGATTTATGGCACATTTAAACAATATTTAAAAAATCTCACATTTTTAATATTACCTTTATCTGTTATATTAAAAATCTATTTTATTTGAAAGTATATTTGAGATATTGCAAGAAAACAAATGTACAATATAATGTAATCTATTATAAAGCAGTTATGTAAGGTTATATAGAAATACTATATAATATAATATAATGTATATTACATATAATGTTATTTTAGCATAATATTAAAGCATAATGTTAAAACGTTTTGAGATTAAAATCTCTTCTGGCCACAAAGGCAGCAAAAAGCACAAAACAAAAACCTTGAATTATCATTGAATTATGGATACAAAGCACACAAATACAAACCTTCCCGCTTCATGCCCATTGCCAGGCACTTCTGGTAGCGACAATATTGGCAACGGTTGCGCTGGCGTTTGTCGATCAAACACTCTTTACAGTCTCGACACGTGTAGCTCAAGTCTTTTCGGATGGTCCTCTTAAAGAAGCCTTTGCAACCTTCACAACTGTAAACACCATAGTGCTTCCCTGCAAACACAACCATACTGAACCTCAGAAGAGTTGGAGATGTATCTTGCATTAACTTCCAAACCAAAACCAAATGCAACACCTAAACATCCCTGTGTTGTTGTACCTGAAGATCGGTCCTCACAAATGGCACAGATGTGTTTGGAGAGGGTTCCAGGGCTGCTGCACTGATAGCTGCTCATGTTGCTCAGCGGAGGCAATCCTGGTGGAGGCTTGATGTCTTCTGAGTTATTCACATTTAAAGAGTTCATCTGTAAGACAGGAAGAGAGGTGAGGAGAGACGGAAACAGCTTATCATACAGTGCAACCAGGAGTAGACATTTTGTCACAATGCAGCAGCAGACTGTTTGTGTCCTTCCAGTACAGAAGACACACACACAAACTGCACAAATCCAAGAAAACACACTCACAAACACACAAAAACAGACTCCACCCTTGCAAGGCCATTGCACAAGTAGCTGTGAGAGCGCTGACATAACATTTCAAATGGGAGGGAGATAATTGTGTCCCTTTCCCTCTCAGAAGAATTCACAATTTTTCCATCACATATTGTTTTCTGCAGTACTCCATTAAGCCTGCAGGTTGCAGTACATGGCCATACCTCAAGCATAAAGAAAGCATGTCAAATCCGGGATGCGATTCAGTGAGCCTTATTTTGAGTGAATTACTGGCATATATGTTTGTCTGTTGACTTGTGTTTGTATTTGGCTGCTTCTTTTGTGGAGTTAAAAAAAATAAAATACAAAATACACGTAATTTCCGTCATATCTAAAATGTTTGATACAGTGTTGTTATTGTTAATTAAAACTATTAAAAAGTTTTTGGTCATTGAAATAAAGCTGAATAATGATGCTGCTAGTACAAATATTAGATGAAAAACCAAAATGAAAATTAGAAACCTAAATGAAAATAAGAAAATTTGCTTTGGCAACTAACTCAAGTTTAAGTACTAAAACGCAGAAATTACAAAGTTTTAAATAAATATAAAAATAAAAACATAACACAACAAAACTTTCTGATATTTACCTTGGTTTTTCTTTACTTTCTGTTGTTGTAACAAGTAAAAACCCATTTTCACAAAATAAATATGATAGTTTCACTCTTTGATCACCAAGTGTTTTAAAAAGTCTAATACATTTTTAATACGTTATTTTATTTTAAGGCATTTTTGCCTTTATTTTGGGAACATTACAATCCACCCGGGACAAAAAAAGAGGCCAAAGTTGAAGAAACACCCATGTACAGGATTTCAGAAGAAGAAACACCAGGCACAGCTAATGGCGCATGCTACCAGCAATACCAGATTTAACACATTTTCTTTTCATTTCAATATAATTTCAAGTACATTTAGACCCTGTATGTCAGAATACACACACACTTACTTGCCCCATATACTGTAAGTTCATAGTTACTGATGTCCTTTCATTGGACTAAAAGCCTGAAACGTTTGTCTGAGTCAATGGCTTTCTCTGGCCTCCAGGGAGAAATGAGACACACATACAGACACACATAAGCTGACCTCTTTTAACACCAGGGCATCCATACACTCTTAGAAAATAAAGGAACACAAAGCTGTCACTGGGTCGGTACCCTAAAGTACAAAAGCTAAAATGTACATCTTTGTACCTCACTTGCCTCTAAATGGTACATATTAGTAACCTTTTAAAGGGGTAGTTAGGTGTGGCTGAATCTTAACTTTTATAAAGAATATCTCTTTGGATTTGAGACTTTAGTCTTTGCAACTTTACAGATCTTCTTTATGCACCAAGAGCTGGTAACACTCCATAGAGAAAGGAAAAATTTAAATCGCATCATATGACCCCTTTAAAAAGGGTACCACCAAGAGGCTAATTTTAATTTATGAGAAAGAGCGACATTTCAGTTTGCAGGACAGACTTATTGCTTTCGGTTGGTGTCAGTCCGAGAGAGCACAGAATTATGGGAAGCTTCTTACCTGCGGGCTACTGAGAGTGTTAAAGCCCATACTGGGCGTAGAGGGCAAGGAAATGGATGGTGAGCCCAGAGACGGGGCGATGACTGAGTAGGGTGAGGCCAGGCCATTCATGGATGAGCCCAGGGTGCTCATGGGAGACTGCAGTGGGCGGGACGAACTGATGACGGACGGATTTCCCACCATGGAACTCAGGGGTGGCGGCTGATAGGGGGGCGAATAAAGAGCACTAGTGTCTGTGAACATACAAAAAGAAAGATTAATATTAGACAAGAGCAATTCAAATTTAGTACTAAAATGACTGCTGATGACATCAATGATCATTGACACATAGACGCTTCACAAAATTACTGTTTTTACTGTATTTTTTAAGCAAATATATGCAGCCTTGGAGAGCATAGAAGACTTAAAAAAAAAAAAAAAAAGTGAAATCTTAATTATTCCAAACCTATGACCTGTAATGTTATGTATAAATCAAACAATCAGACAGGTCTATATAAATTTATCATGACACAACCTGTGTTTTTGTTTAGCATGTACAGACGTCAGAGAACAGGGTAAGTATGTGCCCATAGGGACATCAAGTACCTGTGGAAACGTGTGCCTTTGCAGAACATCAATTACCTCCTTTATTAAGGCCTAAAATGTGTAATGAAAAATATGCCGTTTGAGTAAATGTAAGAGGGCACTTTACTGAGAGAATGCATTAAGCCCTGCTGCTTTAACCATTCAGTCAGCAGCTGATAGAGTGCTACAGTACATATGAGTACCTGGTAATGGTAGTTTGTACTGGCACAAACACAATATATCTATCTAACGTAGTACAAGGACACACACAGGGCAAAGGTTGCACCTTTTTTGCCAATACTGATAGTGTTGCAATCCGTTAACTCATTTCATCATTCATCAAGATGAAGATCAAATCAAATTCATCTAAGATTAAATTAACATGAACACAGCTTCAAGGAGGTTGCTTTATCCAAATGTGCAACACAAAAAGCTTTATCAGTGATTTGGTCAGATATTCTGGTGACTGTAACTGTTTATGTCTTGCAGGTTATTTCAATATACTGCTAATGTATTATTGCAAAATAAACCCAGACAGGGTGATCAAGACCCTGGCATAAAGCGGAGGGGATTCGTGTCACCCTGAAGTGGTTTATATTTAGCTAACAAGTCCACCGTATCCACTGTTATTATATGGCTGCTTACCAAATAAATAAATGGACATATAATGTTGCTTTGAGCTGAAATTATTTTAGTAAATGAAAGGAAAGAGACAACAGAGTGCTACAAGACACATGAAACTACCATGTTGTCAATGGACAATAATCAATTACAGTTTAGCAGTCAAAATAGTGCATTAATATATATTTTTTTTAGCTCTCGAATATTACTAAATGGCTGTCAAGCTAAAAACTAAAGTACATAATATGCAACATTATGTAAAATCATAATTATTTAAATCATTATCTGTAATTTTATTTATCTACATGTTTTATCATTCTCATGCTGAGAATGATGGGAAATGTAGCATGAACCACATAAACTTGCCAAATGAGAAGTTTGTACACTCTGAGAAAAAAAGGTACAGGGCTGTCAATGGGGCAGTACCCTAAGGTACATCTTAGTACCCCATTTACCCCAAAATAGTACATATCATTACCTTAAAAGGCACTTATTAGTACTTTAAAAGTACATATTTAGTACCTAAAGTGTACATATTAGTACCTTTTTAATGGGTACTGCCCCAGTTACAGTTTTGTTCCTTTTTTTCTGAGAGTGTAGGGAGTCACACCCTAGTAAGTGTCTGAAATGAGCTTCTTTTGTAATGTAATTCTCTATCTTGTGGTTTCTTTTACTTAAAATTAAAGAAATCCAGGATTTACTGTTTATTAATTAGGCATAATCATGAATTTCAGCACTTAAACACTATAGTATGTTATAAACAAACATTCTGCAATGGCTGTATTCTTCCAAGCTGGTGCATGTGTGTCCCAGACTCTGGGCAGAAGGGGGAATTTCTGTGGCAGATAGCCAAGATGCCTTTGGTAGGGCAGAAACATGGTCATACTGTGGTCAGCGCGTCGGCCTATCCTCAAATGACCCACCTGATCTATTACATTTAAAACGGACCACACAAGTCCAACGACAGACTCCCTAAGGCTGAAAACAGGGCTGTTACACAGAATGTTTATGGTACTGCATCTTTATACAGAGCTGAATTTGACAGTAAAAAAAAATTCATAATATCGCAAATGTTCACGATCAAATCAATACCAACATTTTTGTGAGGTACAGAAGGACATTAAGGCTCCCCCAGAATATATGCTTTTTAACCTTTTACTCCAAAGTTTTAGTTTTATGTTTACTTTAAAATATACAAGTTTAACAAGTATAATTGACACCCTATAGATGGCAAGGTAACTATAGCTCTATCTCTGCAGATTTACATTTCATTAGGTCTAAAAAAAATTGTTTAGATGCATCAACCTTTAGCTGATAATTCAGATCTTATTCTTCTGAGATGGTCCTTGTGCCAGACATTCATCAGGATTTCACAATGACTCTCGGCAGTGCACATGACCTGTACAGCTGTCTGGGAGCAAAGTGCAGCCTTTGGTAGACTGCTATCAAGTTCAGCGGAGACCACATGAAATGGCACAGGTCAGTGCGGGCACAATCACATACATAAACTGTCATAGCATGCTTCTTGCAACAAACCGTAATTAATTTCCTCACAGATACTCTGTCTGTACAGTAAACACAGAGAAAGCTGTGTATAGTTTCAATGAACAGCAGACCAGGAGACTGACATTATTCTGACATTAGTAATATAAAGCTTGAATGGCAGATTGGAAAGTGACATGAAGCACATAAAGAGAGTGCACCATTAAAAATGTACAAAAGAAAAGACACACAATTATTGTTTTTATTTTTAATTATTTAATTATAACATATTATTTTTTAGAATTCATTCATTTTAACTACAAACAATGCAAGCCTTATTGCTAAAAGAAAGCTTTAGCATTTTCAAAATAAAACAATATTGAATGTGATTCCAAAAGTCAAAATACAAAAACTTGCAATAAACTAGACTTTGCTGGTTATTGCATAATACTAAATAACAGGACATCCCCAAAAGTAAGTTTTGAGATTTAGCTTTTCAGATTTAGCAGCATATTATTGGCTGGAACCACAAACACACAAACACACACACACACACACACACACACACACACACGCTGCATGAAAATCCAAACGGTGGATCCCCCCCTCCCCTATTTTAAACAAAATCTCTTGAATCACTTATTTCAGTCCTAAACAAAGTTGACATCTGATCAATAATGACACTAAACCCTCTTCTCATCACTGACAAATATTTTCAACCACCTGTCAAAAAGACAGGGGTTGTGGGGAGGGCAACAGAACAGACACAAAAAGGTGGAAGGGGGTAGAAGTGATGGAGATATGGGACACTGTCCCACTCTATCTCAGTCTGCCGTAGAGAGCTGCCGGACATTAAATCAACCCTGATTACTGCCATATGTCCATAATCCTCCAAAGCCCAGGACTACACACATACCTCAGTTACCAACACCACTTAATCAACCATATAATAAACTACTTTATCAGCACACACACACACTATCTTTTGTATGTGAATAATTAACCTACACATACAAAGTAAATTTTATAGCTGGTAACAATATTATCTTTATTACCTAAACATCTCATTCACCATTCTTTAATAAGCATTAATTACATGTACGCTACACACACACACAAAAATGTAAAAAGACACACAAGCTCATGTTTTTCTTATCAGAACTGCTGAAATAATGCATTATATTCATGTTCATGCCCCCAGAATCGCTGACAGACGTAAAAATTAGCTGGACTCATGCAGGCCGCAGGAGGTCTGGGATATGTTGGCATTTTTTTATGGCAGTATTGAGAGCGGTCTTACACTGTTACTAATGAAATTTATTGTGTTATTCATTTACTAATGAAAATGACTTGTGTGTTTGAGTGTGTGTTCTGTTGCAAAAAAAGACTTAGGCCTATAACTGCTGCTGTAAGTGTATGACAAAGTCAGTGTTTGAAAAGGTACAGTGGCTTGCGAAAGTAATTTTTTTGACATTTTGTTGTGTTGCTGCCTTATGATAAACTTCTTTAAATTACTTTTTTTCCACATCAATCTACACTCCATACACCATACTGACAAAGCAAAAACAGAACTGTCACAACTTCGTAAATTTATTAAAAATAAAAAACTGAAATAAGTACATTGCATAAGTATTCATACCCTTAACTAAATATTTAGCTGAAGCACAATTTGTGGCTTGACGCAAACCTGTTTCTGAGCTCTACAGACAGTTCTTTTGACCTCAGGGCTTGGTTTTTGCTCTGATATGCATTATCAGCTGTTAGACCTTTTATTATTAAGACGTGTGTGCCTTTCCAAATCATACCCATTCAAGTGAATTTGCCACAGGGTAACTTCGCTTGAAGTGTAGTAATATCTACAAGCAATATGAATGGTCCTGAGCTAAATTTCAACTGTCCCAGGTATGAATACTTATGCCATGGAATCATTTTAGTTTTTTATTTATTTTTTGCTTGACAATTATTGTGTATGGAGTGTAGATTGTTGTGGAAAAAACTAATTTAAAGCAGTTTAACATAAGGCAGCAACAAAACAAAATGTGAAAAAAATTAGATGAATATATGAATACTTTCGCAAGCCACTGTAAGAGAGAAGTGAATACTAAAGAATAATAGAGTACTATCAAGTGTAGAGACATCATTCAGTGAACCAGGCATGAACTCTGAGTGTGTCCTGTAGTAACCCCTGTATCACTCTGTTCAAAACAAGCACATTTTGTCACATGCATCACTCACATTTAAAATAACTGACAACTGCTTTATATATTCACACAAAAAAGTGAAGTAATATAAGGACAGAAAGACAGATAAACAGACAATACTGTACACTAAATATTACAGTCTGAAACTGGACATCAGAAAAATGCTGACTGGGTCGATATGCTGACATTTGGAAACAAACTCGACAGGAAAAGAAGGAACATTAAGCTTCAAAACATCCTATCATATCGTGATCATATGACAGCTGATATTCTGTGGCACTGAAGTGAACTTGTTTTAAAAAAACCCTGAGTAATGTTTGTGACATCTTACATTTCATGACCCCTGTTAATGTCAAAATGTAACG